TTTTCTATCTTCTTTTTATCAGCTGATATTTATTTTCTTAAAGCTTTTGACGCTAAGACCGGTAATACCTGGTTTGCTGTTAACAATAGGAAATAAAAACAATAAGAACATTCTTTTTTAATCACCTCAGATAAATTATATAAGTAGACAAACACTACTGTACAAAACGAGAGTATCCAAGATATACAGGGTGTTTCTGAATTAGTGGTTTATCCTAATGGTACAACTTCGTTTCACTATTAAGAAGCATTTTTCGTTCATACGGGGTATCGAATGAATATTTTTGAAGAATAAAATGGTACCCACCAGGGTTGGGTAACAACGCTTAGAAAATTAATTTTCTACCTATATGTAGAAAAGTGCGTAGAAAATGTAGAATATTAAGTAGAAAACGTATAAAATCTGAGAACAGGTACAACATTAATTTTGTATATTTAAAGCCGTGTTTTTTTACCTTCCTTTCTATTTTCTTTAAATTCTATAAGTGTTAAAAGTGTTATTGTGTGCGCGCGCGTATTCTGTGACAGCACTAACTCTCTGAAGAAGAGACACTAATCGATCTGAAGACTATTAAAAATAATACATTTTTTTCTGTTTAATCTGAAGACTGTAAGTACAGAAAAGTCTGATCCTTTTCTTTGAAAGTTTTCGTTGTTCCTCTTTTAATTTTACCACAGAAAACCTGTGGGTTCATGAACTATACTATACATATAATAATTATTGTAGTTTGTAGTTCTTACTTTCATTATGTTGGATTTTTTTTGTTGTTCTGTTTGAGTCTTACCAAAGTTCACAGAATTACATAGAATTATGCAGTAAACTTTGCAGTTTATTGTGCTGATTTAATGTTTTATTGTTTTGTTATTTCATAGAGTTAAAAATTAAAAGTTTATTTCTTGTACTAAACGTTGTGATTAAATTATTTGAACTAAATATAAACTAAAAAAAGGCTTACAATACACAAAACTAATTTTCTACGTCTGGACGTGGAAAAAATGTAGAAAATTAGTTGGTGTAGAAAATTAATTTTCTACATGTAGAAAATACGGTACAAAATATAACATTTTCTACCTACCCAACCCTGGTACCCATGAATTTTCTTAAAATAAAAATGATTTTAGAGTCCCCTTTCATTCTAGAACATAGAATTATTCCTCTTGGTTTTTTTCAGACGCCAGTTTATGAATGGCATTTATAATATATTAAAGAATAAAAAAAAATTAAATAGGCACAATTTACATCTATACCAATGTGCGATGACCTAGAATAAACAAAAATTACACGTCGAATATGTATTACCAGTCAAATAAATTACAAAGCACCCCACCGCACTTCTCAACAATCAATATAATCCTATTACAGTACACGGCACCCGACCCGACAGTACCGGCGGAATCCGTACCTACTTAACGTCCATCGGTACCAACAATAAGAACCGTCCAATTATCTCGGTCACGTGTCGGCAAAGGGCCCGATTTAAGGCCCTGGGAACCGCCCACGCGGTCGCCCAATAGACCGAAGGACGGCCCGAGGGTGGAACGACCCTTAAAAGGGCGACCGCGGTACCGGCGACGTAAAGGGCGGGGGCGAGACGCTTTAAATCGGCCAGATGCATGTCAATCGCGGCGCTGCCGTGCGTTTTTTATCGGGGTCCAGGAGAAACAGTGTTGCCGTACTTAACAAAACTTCTGGGATATTTTTGTCTTTTTTCTTAATGCTGGAAATGCATTGGGTGAGCGTATATAGTTACTACGTTACTATGGTTTCTAGACCAGGATCCCGGTGTATTATCCCCGAAATCTCGAAAATTTTAAATGCCAAATCTAAAATTATTCAACTTTATACTTTATACACTTTTTTAAAATCATATTTAATTTATACTAAGCAGAACGTCAATATCTAAAAGTTATATTTCCCTGTTTGTTATATTTTATTTTTTTTTGCAACAAGAATTATTGTATTTTTTTAATTACTAAATATGAATATAACTTTGTTTTGTCTATTTTAATAAAGCTTTTTTCTCATATTTTTTTACATATGTAACTGCATTTTCATCTTCATAAAAATGCATAGCGAGATGTTGATTATGCTCTGTATGGAATAGTCTGATGAAATTATTTATTTTTTTTTATGAACATTATAGGAATTATAGGACAATTAATAGAACTAGAAAAACAGTTGCATGTGTAGACAAAATAAAATCTGTTAAAAAGATCTCAATCTCTTTGAATAACGATAAAAATATTGTTATACGTTTCCCATTTTAGCAGCTTCTACCAAAATTTTTTTAAGGACTCCCGTCCAGTGGTAAACATTCTGAGGTAATATTTTCAATTACAGTTGAGGGTTGGAACCTTTGGTGTTACACAGCAAAATAAAAACACTAAATCACCACAATACACCAAAACACTTTTACTTTTACACTGGACGCGCGTTTCGCTAACCATGTTAGCATCATCAGCAGATGACTATAAACTGGTTTTTTTTTACTTAGTTTATAATCATCTGCTGATGATGCTAACATGGTTAGCGAAACGCGCGTCCAGTGTAAAAGTAAAAGTGTTTTGGTGTATTGTGGTGATTTAGTGTTTTTATTTTGCTAATATTTTCAAGCTAAAAGAAATAGGCCGGATAGCCGTATACAATTAAGTATGTATATGGTTTTAACTAGCACGTCAATAAAAACAAAGAATTATAATACAATCATAAAATAAACAATATAATATAATAATAACTCCAGTATTTTATTTATAATTGTTACTAACAAATTTATCTTGAACAAACACTTTTAGATTAAATTTTTACTACATAGATTAGGCACATTAAAAATTGATATTTTTACCACTAATTTTGGTAATATTTGCTTCTCTGTAATACAGTAATTATCTCCATTAATCTTTAGGTTGGTTTTTATAAAATTAACAACCAGATAAATTCTGATAATACACAAAAATAACGTTTAATTTTATGAATAAGTTTATATTAAGTACCTAATTTGGGTTGCCAAATCTCGTTTAATTTATTTAAAAAAAAACACAGAAACATGAAGCCAATACATTTTAGAAGTTTAACCTTTAACCTAACCCGTGACATACAGTAAAACTGTCTATCAATAATAAGCCTCGTAATAATCAGAGTTGAAAAAAGCATAATTAAAATATTTAGTTTTTCTACCATACGATTGAAAAACAAACGGCATCAAAGACGGCTGGGGAATGACAATCGATGATAATTTTGGCGAAGTCAAGCCCTAGATGTTATTTACTTGGCCCGCGCTCTTCTTAATTTTTTAACAGCGCTTACTGCCAGTTGGCTTTAAGAAGGTTCTATTTTATTTTTAAATTGGGTAAAAATGATTTTTAAATAGTGTAGTTTAAAATTCTAGAAAAAATATTTTTTTGGAATTAGATTTGAGACGTATACTTTTTTAATCTCTATAATTAGTGTTGATTCTCTACTCATTCCAGCAGTCTTTGACGACCTTTTTTTTGGATCATACATTATTTACAACATAACAACCCTGATAATCAATCAATCTAAAAAAAATTAGCACTTATAATGGTGAAAAATGATAATAATGTCTAAATAATGTAAGTTTATATTGTAAAGTAAAGCTTATTACAAAATAACTTCGATTTTATTTATCCTACAGCGAAAGTCTCGAAGAACCAGCCAAATCTACATTAGTCATCCTTATCTTATCCGTTTCCACGCATTGCTTTTACCATATTTCGTCGATTTATTCGATAAAATCGGCCGTAAACGGCACGAACCGGTCGCGATCTGACACTTTTTTATCGATACTCGCCCATTATCAAATCGAAACCTGGTTACGCGCTCATTTGTATAAGTATTTGGCCATTAATGAAGCATTTGTTTACGGCATTTAAAAGTTACGAAATCGGAGCGGCAACGTCGCCTCGGAGACGGCAGACGTTGCGTGCGCATTTTCTCACGTGCGAGCAGCGTTGCCACGACCGCCACAGACATTCCGAAGATTAGAAGACATTTTTAAAAATGTATATTTAAAAAAATTGTATAATTGTTTTATTAGGAGTAAAAACGATAATCTTGCGGAGAGGCTGTATGTTTGACGTTACAGGAGAGGTACAAAAAATACATTTTTACTCCTAATGAAACACGGTATTTTTTCCAAAATTCAAATAATTTTTTAAACGTAGCAAATAATATAAACAATCTATATAATTCCTTGAATTCGACACTTAATGCCAGTTTAATAATATATGTCTGTACTTTTGTGCTTAGGCGTAAAAGTACTATGCATTAATGCCTAGGCATTAAAAAAAATAGCATATTATTCATGGTATGTTCTTCTTCAACAATATAATATGACAGCGGCAGTTACTTCCTGTAATTTTAGTGCAAAAACAAAGAAAATTGTATTTTCTGTCATTTTTTGTATGTCGCCTATCAAACTCGTGCCTTCTGTAGCTAGAAAGACTTTATACAGCTGCCTCCGTTTTAGCGTTTAACAAAAAGTTCATATTAAATAGTTAAGTTTTTAAAAATGGACTAGAATTAAAATGTTACTTTTATTATACCTACGATACGATCGAAAAAAAAAACAGCGTCAAAGACGGCTAGGGAATGACAATCAATGAGAATTTTGGAGAGGTCAAGCCCTAGACGTCATTACTTGGCCCGTGCCCTTCTTATTTTTTAATGGCGCGTATTTCTAGCTGGACTTAAGAGGATTGTAACACCGGTATTTTATTTTTATACCGAGTAAAAATGATTTATAAATGGTGTAGGTAGTTTAAATTTAAAAAAAAAATATCGATTGTCATTACCCAGCCGTCTTTGACGGGTTTTTTTCATCATACGGTACTTCTTAAATTTTATTACAGTTCAAGAATCAAAACTTTTTAAAATATTTATATTTTTTAAAAAAATAACCGAAAAGAAATTTAAATCACAGCAGCAACACCGCGCCCGATTCTCTTCCGTCCGTCATAAAATTGAGGTTAGAGCTCACTCACCTTTTTCATAATCCCAGTTTTCCTTTTAGAAAACGTCGTATACCGTCTCAATTTGTTCTCGATATACTCCATCTTGATCTTCACTCTCCCCTTGGTCTTTTTCCCGTTACTCGGTGGCGATTTCTTGGCCTGCATCGACCCGTAGGGCTCGTCAATATCGTTCACTCCACAAGCCTCTAGTCCTATACCTTGCTGCCCTCCCGTGGTCATCCCACGGTCATCGTAACACACGTCGGACTTGGATAGGGAACCCCTGGTACCACAGGCACTAGAAACCATGGTATGCCGAGGCGATAACTGCTGCAAACTCGTAGAAGGCCTGCCAAGAGAACTGCCGTATATCTCGGGTGGCGTTTCGCCGCTCAGCAAATTCATATTGTATCCCAGATTGAATCGGGAGTCTCTCCCGCCGGGGGGTTCCATCGCGCACCACAGTTTGGGGCTTGTAAACAGAGTAACTCGCGTCGCGAATAGTTAGAAGGGCCGCAAAAGGCTCAACAAAGGGCATAAGCTCACAGCTGATCGAGAGACGTAAGACGCGCGTGCTGAACTGAACAGCGAAACGATCACGGACAAACGTCTGACTAGTCTGTCGATGCAAGACTGGCGCTCGACGGCGTTGCCAGCGCCGGCTGAAATCGTGGGTCTGGCGGGTGAGGATAAAAATGTACTAAAAGAGTCGATTGTACTAATAATTCGAGTAAATAATATTTGATTCTGTATGTTTTATTTGGTATTGTGTTTTAATAGTTTCAAATTAGGTTTCTGTGAACTATTCGTACACCTGTTTATTTTCAAAAATAAAGCCTGCGTTTTATGCTAAAATATTTTGTTTAGATAATTTGAATAAAATATGGTAAACTTTTGTTCGTGAAAGTTTGGAACACCCTATGGAATATGCTTATGTCAAGAAGGCCTGCTTTGGGACAACAACTTACTAGATCTGTTGACTAGGACCAAAAGCAAAGGCATGGTTTTAATGTAAAAATTACGAAAAAATGTTCCACAGCCAGACAGCCTGTTCCAAATTTTGACCAAAATAACAATATTTTGTGTTCCCTTGTATAACTGACTCATTTTCCATTTAGAAAAAAATACTAAAAAGTAAAATAATTTAGCTACAAATTGTTCAAGAGATCATCAAAATCGACCTATACAGGGTGTGTCTTAGATAAGTGCAAATATTTTTAGGGGTAGGTACTATATTTCGACCCCAGAAACACGATTAGGTATGAGGTTTTTTCGCGAAAAAAAAATTAAAAACTGGAATTTTTTGAAAAAATTTTTGAAATTTTTTTTATTTTTTAGTTAAAAAATATATAATTCGTTAATAATATGACAGCATAGGTAGTAGATTAAATTTACAAGAAAGAAAATCCAGAAAAGATCCAGTGGTTCTCAAAATTTTAGGAAAATATTTTTTTTTCACATTTTTCAAAGTAAAATATCTCGGTTATTTTAGATTTATTTGAAAACCGTAAAGAGACTGCACTTATTTAAGACTCGCCCTGTATAATACTTTAAAATACATCAAAATTTTAAGGTGCCCGTTTTTAGTGCCGGTGGGTGTAGATTTGTGTCTGAAAACATTTTATTATCTTATTTAATCTTTCTATAATTAACGTTAATTAATGACAAATTTTATGTCAATTTTTAGTAATTGATGTCTAGAGATTGACCTCGCCAAAATCATCATCGATTGTTATTCCCCAGCCGTCTTTGACGGAGTTTTTTTTCGATCATACTTTAGAATATTACTTTTAAAATATAAAATATATACTTATCAAATAAAGCATATATACAGGGTGAGTCTTTAATAAGTTGGAAATATTTTTAGGGCAGTATATTTCGACCCCAGAAACACGATTATGAGTTTTTTCCCAAAAATTTTTTTTGAAAATTTAGAATTTTGAAAAATGTTTTGGAAACTCAATTAAAAAACATAATAATTTCTTGATAATATGGCAACATATAGGTATTAAGTATATTAAATTTACAAGAAAGGAAACCCGGAAAGGATACAGTGGTTCTCAAAATTTAAGCAAAAAATCATTTTTTTTCGAAATTTTCAAAGTAAAATAACTCGGTTATGAAAAGCGGCAAAAAGAAAATATGTTTCTTTTATTGAGATCTTCCAGCTCTGAAAATATTTCCACTTATTGTATATTATAAAATGAAACCCTGTATATTATAAATTGAAATTGTGAAGAAATCTTTTAGTATGTTGCCGCCTCTAGAAAAAAATGTACTAGTCCAGTACATTTTTCCGTACTTCGGCAACACTCATCGCACCGCCCCCAACAACGAATACTGGCGCTACGCACTATCAGCACAGGCTCCTATCAAAGACATGCATGCCTCATCCCTTGTACTACACGAACGTCCTTCCTAGCTAGAAAACGGGACCCTGGACGCGGAAATCCCGACAATCCCCGGGATAGTACCGTACCGTACCGTCGCATGGGACGTATTCAGGACTGGACTCGCCCATAGTCGTACCTCTGGGACGGCCCAGTACCATAAACGGACTCGTTCCGTTCTCTTTATATGGATCGGTGTCCTTAAAAGGATGCGAGTGAGAGCCCTCCTTCGCACGGCTACTGGTGGTACCCCCTGTAGAGCGAGAGGCGAGGGGGGGGGGAGGTTTGAAATTGACGCTAATGCGCGTACCATTTGGTAAGATCATTGGCGGTGAGTGAGCGGCGAAGTAAACAAAGCAGTGGTACTTTATTGTTGGCCGCGGGCCGATGGATAGCATGACGGATGAATCGGACTAATTTGTTGTTGCATGGCCACTTAACGCTCAATTTTTACTGAAATGAGCTAGACTTTTGGAGGCGTCATTTATCAAGCTAGCGAGTACCGGAGTGTTCGGTAATGGTTCAGTAATTTTTTAATAAACCGCTGTTTCTGTCATTTAAAAAAATTACGTTTTCAGAGATACCGTATGATCGAAAAAAACGCTGTCAAAGACGGCTGATGAATGACAATCGATGATAATTTTGGCGAGATCATCTTTTATAAAAGATATTTGATGAAAAAATTGATAGTGGTAATATACAAAATTTTATAAAATCACGCACATAATTACACTGTCAAATTCTTCATCAAAGAGCTTTTAAATAAAATCTTTGACAAAAAAATTGATAAAATAGTAGCCTTAGAAAGTTTATTGGGTAATATCGCCAACTTTTATTGAATTTCTCTATACAGGGTGTCCCAGAAATAAGTGCAAGTATTTTAAGGGGTGGCGGATCTCGATAAAAGAAACATATTTTATATCGTTTTTTAAATAAGTCTAAAATAACGGAGTTATTTTACTTTGAAAATTTCCAAAAAAATGATTTTTTGCTAAAATTTTGAGGACCACTGGACCTTTTCTGGATTTTCTTTCTTGTAAATTTAATCAAATATCTATATTGCCATATTATCAGGAAATTATGTTTTTTAACTAAAAACTAAAAAAAAATTCCAAAAAATTTTTCAAAAAATTCCAAAGTTTTCAATTTTTTTTGCGAAAAAAATCTCATAGACGTGTTTCTGGTGTTGAACTATACTACCAGTTAAAATATTTGCATTTAATTCTGGGACACTCTGTATAGGGTTATTCACAACGATGCGATGATGGCACGTTAGACATTTGTGGAGACCCATTATTGGAAGAAGATTGGTTATGAAGAACCAGAATTGATAGAATTCTTTGAAAATTTGGATTTTTACATAAAGGCACGCATAAGGTTGTAGCATCTTTGTTATTTTATATGGAACACCCAGTATATTATTACATTTTTGAACTACTTTCATATCTCATAATTTTTCTATTATACTAACCTATACCTATCTCTAATAGTTTTTGAGACAAAAAATAAAACATTGTGTAAAATTGACAAAAACATGAGCGTGAATAAGTAATGGAAAACACATAAATTGAATAATTTTAAAGTTGAAATTTGGGTTATAAGTTAACGAAAGTCGATATATTCGATCTGTCTAATTAAACCGATAGGATATTACATAGGGAGAGCAAAAATATTATTTATTTCCTTTTGTTATAAAATTACTCAAATCTTTGTTATTTTATATTCAACCCTATGTATATTATTCAAAAAATCAAAAAATTAATGTGTTCAATTTTCAACGTTTTATCATTTTCCTATATCTAAACCTTCCGGTTTCTTATTTATTTATTTAGCGTATGGCGTATACATGGATTTAATTACAACATCAAATGTATATATTCAAACACAATATAACATGTAAACAGATTGTCACAAATTGTAAAAATAAAACTAGATATCTAAAAAGTTATACACAAAACATATTACAAAAAGTACACTTCAACACGGTGTCTGTGGCTTCAAAGAAATCACTCGCTTCTCCTCCATATGCTGTAAGAGGGCATTCAGTTACAATGTGATGAACAGTTTGACGTGGTTCTCCGCAGTCACAAGTCGGTGATCCGGTCAGTCCCCATTTATAAAAAGAATCACGGCATATGCCATGAGACGTTCTTACCCTGTTGAGTATACCTTCCACTCGTGGCGGGGCAGCTCCATACCTGGTAGAGCTGCTGTAGGGTCGATGACATAAGCTGCTTGATCTGGTTTCAAAGAGTCCCAGTACTCCCTCCATTTATCATTTATACTGAAATTTTCTCCCAAAAGTTGTTCTGCTAATAGTAGTGGGGGGGATCTAGACTTCAGTCTTCGCAGACGGGCATCTGGCAAGTCGTTGTGGACTGGAAGGTGGGGATTTGATAATATTTTCTGATATTCCTTAACGAGTCTTTCCTGTCTTCGAATACTGGGAGGTGCAATATGACTCAGAATGGGCAGCCAAGGTAGAAGTGTGCTTTTTAAACAGCCGCTGACTATTCTCATAGTCTCATTAAGTTTGGTGTCAATTATCTTTACGTGGCAGCTGTTTAGCCAAACTGGAGCGCAATATTCAGCAAATCAGTAAACTAGGCTGAGAGCTGATGTTTTAAGAGTGGATGCGTTTGGCGCCCCAAGTAGTACCGCAAAGTTTGTGTATTATATTATTTCTAGTAGTTATTTTAGCTGCAGTATTCTCTAGATGCCTTTTGTACGAGAGTGTTCGGTCCATTGTTACTCCTAGATATTTTGGATAAGGGTTATAACGTAGCAAGTTGTTATTGAAGTATACTTGGGGGCTCCAGGCGTGCTTGTTTATTATTGAGATGAAAGCACGACAGTTCAGTTTTATTCATATTTGGGATTAGTCTCCAGTTTGCGAAATATTTTCCCAGTACAGATAGGTCTTCTGATAGTAGGCCATTAGCTTCCTCTATAGTTTTACTGCCGATAGCAAGAGCTAAATCGTCGGCATACCCAAATTTTGTTGACGTTGTATGTGGAATGTCGGAGATATATAGATTAAACAGTACCGGTGCGAGTACAGAGCCTTGAGGGAGCCCATTATTAAGGTGTCTTATTTTACTCCTTCTTTTTCCTGTTATTATTTGGAAGGGCCTGTCGCCCTTCATCCAGCATGTTGTTTAATAGAGATGCTATTCTACTGCATGGTACTACGAGGAATTTGTATAGAAGACCTTCTCTCCAGACCGTG